GGTTGCCTTTAGGGGTGACAATGGACTTGGACCAACTCAGGATTGGATGGGTAGAACCGACTTGAGTCCCGGTATGGGTCCAAAAATTGGACCCCACGGGTCGGGTATGGATCCGGATCCAAATCTTAGACCCAAACATTCTTCAAGTCGGGTCAAGTCTGGGTCCCATATTATATTTTTGGGTCTTAATTTATGAAATATATTAAAATATAAATATATTTAAAGATATACATATTTTAATTTTTGGGTATGCTCTAGTTGGGTTCGGGTCTAGTGACTTTGGGGCCGGGTCCCATAATATTTTTTCGGGCCGGCCGGTCCCAGAACCGACCCAACCTGTTGCCACCCTTAGCTGCATTACCTTGGTTGACCTTTTTTAATAGAGTTGTCGCTAGTGGTTCTTGAAGGGGCTGTTCCCCCTACGCAACATCACTAGGAGAATTATCACTTGCCACTTTTCTTTGACCTTGTGCATCTACCCCATCTTGATATGCAACTGGAGGAGGAATTAAAGCAAGATCTGTAAGGTCATCGACAAATGCTTGGGGTTTCTCAAATTTTTCAAAGTTTTTAATTGTTTAATATTTACAAAATACTACATCTCAGCTTTTGATCACTTTCCTTTTTTATGGATCCAAACCTGTAGCCACTTCATCTGTATAACCTAAGAAGATACATTGTGTTGACTTGTCATCATGTTTTGTCATCTATTCTTTTAATACATGAATGAATGTTTTACGACAAAACACGTTGAAGTGTTCATGTGAGGCATCTTTTCATATCCACACTCTTTCTGGATAACTTCCCTTCAAATGAGCAGAAGGGGATAAATTAATCAAATGGTATACAATGTGCATTACCTCACCTCAAAAGAACGTCGGTAGTTTAGTGAGAGCATACACTTGATTCAATATTGCGGTTCATTCTTTTTACTTGAGGTATCTTGGGAACAATATCTTACGTCCGATACTATACTTTTTACAGTATTCTATAAATATCTTCGAATTATATTCTCCACCATTATCTATGCAAATACACTTTAAAGGCTTTCATGTTTCCCTTTCAACTTTAGCATGAAAATTTCAAAACATCTCAAAGACTTTAACTTTGGTTTTTATAGCGTATGTGCTCACTTTTCCAGCAGCACCATAAATGAAGGTAACAAAATAAGAGGCACCACCAATAATTTTGACTTTCATGGGACCACATACATCAGGATAAGCCAATTTCATGATATTTGTTTTAAAAATAAAAGTACGTTTCAGTGAAACTCTATGTTGTTTGCCAATCAAACAATAAGAGTTGTGATTTATACGTGTATCTTTTTAAGCTGAGGAATATTATTGTTTGATAGAATTTGCATCCCTTTCTCGCTCATGTGATGAAGCCACTTATGCTATAGGTCATTTGATGAAGTTTACTCGATGGTGTTCACTTCATTCATACCAGTGTTCGCAAAATCGAACTGGAACGTTTAGCCGAATATGGGCTTGGAAGCAATTTAACCGGCCTAATTGGTAAACTGGCCGATTCAACCTCTCTAACCGGATAAGTCCTAGGTGGTCAAAAAAGTGTTGAAAACAAATAAAAAAGATACAAAAAAAAACTACTAAACTATGAAAAGCATATAAAGAATGATTAAAACAAAACACATTAAAATGAAGTTGAAAATTAATGAAAAAATGAGATTTTAACCCAATTTATATTTTCCAAGATCTATTTTCAAAATTTTCTATAAAAGATGGGAAAATATAAAAGTGAAGTATTAATGAAAAAACAATTTTTAATCTTTACCATAATGTAAAGAATATTTAAAAATGCATTACAAATCAACTTCCTTATTTTTGATAATTTATATACATTTTTTTGAATTTTTTTCTAAAATACCTGTTGATCACCCTAACCGCCCAAAACCAAAACCGGTGAGTAGCCGTTTCCGATATAACAGGGTAGTTAGCTGTTAGATCGGACGATTTTGTGAACAATGATTCATATACAACGGCACCTATATCCTGTAAAGAGTGCAATCTCTTTCCTCTTGCCACTAACAGCGACCCTTTGGTAAGCGTCCAATGCCACTACCAAAGTAATTATTATAGCCTCGTATCATCTAATTTCCCAGTTGAAATCAGATTAAGTCGTTAGTTTGGAACATGCCTTACATCCTTGACAGCCAATTTACAGTCAACATCAGTCTCAACACAAATGTTACACATTCTTACACTTTTTGAGATGACATTATTTCCTATCTTTATTATGCCAGAGTCTCTTGACTTCTAAGATGTAAAGAAATCCTTTTGTGGGGTATCATGGCCGGAAGCATCGGTATTCATAAAAGCCAGCTACATGCAACATTTAGGCAAGCAAGCATTATCATTAGCTAAGAAAGTAATAATACTAGTATTAGTAGTAATAACATCGAGTTCCTTATTTTCTAGTTTGTCTTCACCTTTTCCTTCCTATTTCTCTTTCTTAAGCTTTAGACAGTCCCTTTTTACATGCTAGGCTTGCTATAGAAGGAGCATTTATCTCTTGATCTCTCACGATCATGAGGTTTTCTACTTGTATTTCTCCCACTATTTTATGTGACAAGATCCTATGATTGAGAGCAATTTAAGGATTTTATTTATTGCTTTTTTATTCAATAAATTACTTATAACTTGACTTTTTGTTAGTTTTTATGTGACAAGATCCTATGATTGAGAGCAATTTAAGGATTTTATTTATTGCTTTTTTATTCAATAAATTACTTATAACTTGACTTTTTGTTAGTTTTCCATCTGGTGTAGAGTTGCTAAGAGACACCACCAATGTGTCCCAGCAATAAGGTAATGAATTGAGGAGTAATAAGGCTTGTAACTCATCATCCAACACCATCTTCATAGAAAAGAGTTGATTCACTATGCCCTGCATCTCATTTAAATGCTCTTCAATTGATTCACCTTGTTTAAACTTCAAATTAACATAGCTTTCATATCTGAAAGGCTTTGTTGCCGACTGCCTTTCTGTCATATGGCCCTTCCAACTTCTCCCATAGAGAATATATTGAAGTTTCATTCTATAGGTGGTGAAACATACTATCATTTAACCTATGTCAGATGTATCGAACAACTTTCTAATTTAGCTTGTTCCACTCTTTATTCGTCATCTCTTTTGGTTTGGCTCCATCACTCGTAATGTGAACATGTAAAATGTTTGCAATAAAGAGTTTCTTCATTTAGGCTTCCAAATCAACCAATTATCGCCAGTCATGCTAATTATCTTGCTTGCGTTTGCTCCTATGATTCTTCACACACAATTTTCTATTCAACAAGAAAAAGTAAAGCCTATAACCAAGAAATTGTGCCTTCCCATATAGGAGAATCAAAAAACAAACACCAAACCTCAAAGAAATAAAAATATGTGAATTTGCAGGAAATTAGATTTAAACCAAACACCAAGGTTTACATGAAAAACTTTTCAAAGAGGGGAAAACTTTGAGCAACCGCAAATGAAATTTACAATGCAAAACAATAATTACAATCGTTCTTTCCTAGCTAATTAATCATAACTTAAGGATTTAAGAATAAAAAAAAACAAAACAACACAATGTTACCTCTATGGAATCAATTTTATCTTCCTACCCTTCTCAAATGAATCACCTCTTTCGAACCTTTATTGGAACCTTTATTGGAGAATACCAGTTTCAATCTGAGAAGCCCAAAACCTTTTGATATTTTTGGAAGAAACCTTTCCCAAAACCTTTTGATATTTTTGGAAGAAACCTTTGTAATTTTTCTATGCATGAAAAAAAACCTAGAGAAAGAAACAAAGGACTTCAACCTCTCTATAATTCTTCAACTCCCCTCTCACAAAAAAAAAAAAACAAAAAGCACTCTTTTTTATAAGAAGCCCTAGTTATTCATAATTCTCGCTTTCTAAAAAAAAAAACTTTTTAATTTTCTTTCCCCGGAGTGGTCCCCTTCCTCACCTAGAAAGGAATTCCGTAATAGGAACTAGCTTGTAAGGAAATCCTCATGAAATTTTTATGCTACAAAAGCTTATCTACCAGAGGTGTGCCCATTGATAGCATTTCTTTTATTTTATATAGAGTTTAGATGCGCTTGAAGAAACAATGTTTGTGTTTGAGACAAAACAAGTTTGAAGCATAGAAAGGGTTTTGAAGGGGAATTACATGGCCAGCTTGCAAAGTTCAGAAGTTTTCCACCATTATTTGGGAAGCTGTTTAACTCGAACAGTTCCAATATTTCCCTCAGCTCTCCAATTTTATCTTCACCTTGTCCGAATCATATGTTGGTTTGAGTCGGGGAATTTGGGAAAAGTTTTAGATGACTATTACATGGATCAGTTTTTTTATGAATGGGCCCCCTCATCTATATACTTAAGCCCTCCCTCAAAAATTTATTTTAGATATGGATTTTAGATCTAAAGGTTTTACAGATCGAGAATCTATACCATGGTGAATGCAAATATAAAAAAGTACAAAATAATTTTGTCTATACATATTTTTAGACCATAAATTTGTGGGTTTTGGTACGACCACCTCCATTTTACATCCATATCCAATATGGATGTTAGGTACGTTAGGGGGGACACAAATGTACAATTGTGTCCCCCAAGGCACGCTACACTTTTCGATATTATGATGCTCCTTATAGAAAGCATTTCTGAAATTTGGACAAATTTCACATTTAGAAAGCCGTGTTTTAAAACACAGACAGGCTATCGACCATCTGCTCGCACGGTAGATGGTGGAGAGAGCTGTGTACAGACATGACAGCCATTCCTTGGTACAATAGTTCATCTCCACTGTTCCCCTTGGAATCAAAGGGTAGATCCCCTACTTTTTACTCAAACTGTATCATGCCCACATGCTATACTTTTCCAAAGAAAAATAACAGCCCCTCTATGTTTCGTATTACCACAGGCTTACCTTTAGAAACAGGCCAAAGAGCGAATCTCTCTCTCTCTCTCTCTCAAACACACACACATCACCAAAGTGAGATTCAACTGGATTTAACAGATTAAGTACAGACTTCTTTCAATGTGACAACAAATTTACTTGTGTTTCTTTTGAAGTGGGAAGGGAATAGGCTTACAATGTGAATTTTCTCTATTTATACAAGTAAATCACAATCTCAGATTCTCAAATAAAATCGCCCAAACACCATTTGAATTGAAAGCATTTAAGACATTAACCTTTCAAGAGAAATGAATGGTGTTAATGTAACGGACTGGCTTCAAACATGTTACAACTTACAAGTCAGTGCAAGGAGCAACTCACAAAATCACGCTTTAACTTTTCAACTACCGCTAAGAATTCCCAGCTCCTGGCCTGTATTCTCCAATACCAAGAAGATCCTGCATGAAGGAAGGTACAAGTAATAGAAAGAGAGAGAGAGAGAGGACAAATTCAGCATTCTACAACTCACATGAAATTTTTACAAACTAATATCAAATATGATCGAAAACATCACCATACGTGAAAGATCTATTACGTCTAATAAGTAAAAACCAAAATCCCGATAATAAAAGGTTGTTAAAAGCTGCAGGAATTTAAACATTAATTTATGAGATTAGCAATAACATCTTCACAACATCATGATAAGGAAGAGATTCTCGTTCCTCATAGAATGTGCTAAGCATGGTTTCCAAAACTACAGAGAGATTCACATGAAAAGTAAATTTTCAAAAACACCCTATTTTTCCACTTTACATTAGTAGTCCTAAATTGTCAGAAGAGAGATTCACATGAAAAGTAAATTTTCAAAAACACCCTATTTTTCCACTTTACATTCGTAGTCCTAAATTGTCAGAAGAATGCAGGCAGTCATGTAAAAAAAACTAGTGCAGAACGTTGCTGGAGTTGTTGATGATTTAGGGCAAACATGCAAGAATAAATCAACAACTCCAGCTTCAAACTTTTCTTGTAACATTGCAAAAATGAAAAGTTTACAAGGGAAACACAAAGTATGGACAGTTGTCGCTCTAGCCTCCCTCAAGCTGATCATCACTTTGAATGTCCATATCACTGAAAAGTTTCTATTTTTACTTTACTATGGATTTCTTTAGTTGACATGCTAGCATTTCAATATAAAACTTCATCACTAGAGGTAATAACCCTTGTCAATTAAAAAATTCGTTAATCAACATGCTTCAAGTGAAAGGCTCTAATAGGGCAAGAGAAAAACCCAAAAGGACATGGACGAAAGCAATTAGACGAGATAATGTCTGCAACTTCTTAGAGCTTATAATTCACAGAGTCCAATTTTCACTGAAGCATATCTTATGTAAAGGAGGTTCTAAGATACCCCTAGAGATGTTAAAGATCAGAATCAAACATAGTCCCCACTAAGAAGTAATGTTAAACATGGCCAGTTTGGGATGATGCACTTAGAAATATTCTTCCTTCTACTGTTTAGAATAAAGGAAATAATAGTTTTTCTTCCTCAGCTATTACCAAATAGCCACTATTTGGCAGCCATTTCTGCATAAGTGGGGTTCTAGACAGCCATGGACACAAACGAGTTGCGGAAGCATTCCCGCCCAAATGTAGGAAGATAAAAGTAGAAATTCCATTCAGTGGTCCATTGGAATTGGCCCCAAATTCTGAACCTCAGAATGCTGACTACAAAAATTTCCATCAGATGATGGCATTTAAAGACCATGAATAGTGATTTAGTTATGCGTTATGCAAAACCTGAAATTTATGATAACTTTGAGTTTTTAAATCTCTTTAGCATCAACCATGCTCTAGACTTTCAAGGGAAGATTGGAGATCCAACTCCTTAGAAGGACTGCACAGGAGCTTCAATCATTAAGCCTTATATTTTCAAGTAATAGAAGATTGGGACAAGAATTTTGGATTCAGGAAGGAAAGGGAGTACGGGGCAGGACCTTCAACCATTTGGCAACATGTGAGGTCAAAAATAGTAAGAACAGGAGAAAGAAGAGCAACAACAAGGAGCATAAGATCAAGATAATGAAGACGGGGATAGTGGAAACAACAATGACAAAGATGGTGGTGATAATAGTAGATGGTGCCATTAACAATGATGAGAGAGGAAATAGTAATGGTGCATGGTAACTTTGGGATGCGGGCCAGCAGAGATTTACAAATCATCAAATTATGATGAGAGATAAGAGTATACGACCAATGGGGTTACAACATTTGCAAGTGTATAGCTTTGACAGACTAGTATATTTTACTGTTTGAGCAATATTCATTGCAAGTATCAATTTTTAAGACAACTCATATTAACAAAAAATCTTTCTACAATGTATTGAGACGGTCTCAGATCATTCTTAGGTGACGCTAATAGCTTGGGTAGATTGTTAGAGACTTGGAGTGTAATTCAATCTGCATGCTACACAAGAAGATCCCCTTAGAGGCCAAGCCACTTCATGTCAGAGCTCATTGATTTGTGTGATGGTCAGCCTATTCATTTTAGCCATGTCCTTCACAGTTCACAGTAACAATGTCATAGCCAACCCCTTGGCTAAGAAGGAAGTTCAGTGTCCCTCTTTCTCTACTATTTTTGCTTTTAGTCATAAAATGACAAGATGGCATTCCGTCACTACAGTAGTAAGTAATGTTTCTAACTTTCTACCTTAAATCATAAATAACTGAATTTTCTTAAAAAAGGTAATTTACATACTTTCCCTTAAAAAGGCAATTTATATTACATTGAACATCTATTTAATCATTTACTCTTTTCAAATTATGATTCACGGATGACACCTTAGAATGTAGGACTTAGAGTGATGAATACACGATTTAGAATTTATAATTTTGTATTTTCCCTCATTTGCCATATGACTGAACGAAGTCCAAAAGACTTCCAGGCTTCTAAGATTCTAAGTTTCTAATGGAGCTAAAAGCCAAAATCACACAAAAATATCTTAATGTGTTCAAGAAATCCAAAAAGGTAAAAATATAATCTAGAATATTTTCCTTGATCAGTTGAAAATATACTAGGAATTTTTTCATATAGTTATTTAAATGGGATTGTCTACAAAGAGACCATTTAACTTTTGTACAAGGAAGTCACAACTATTCCCTCTCATTAGATGTCAAATTGGATGGCTTGAGATGAGTCACGAAGTCTGAGAATTTTCTTTTTGTAACTTTATGTCTAATTAATGATACTCTTACACCCCCTATTTGAAAATCTAAGGGACAAGAATGATTGTGACCTCCTTGTACAAAAGGTAAATAGCCTATTTGTAGACAACCCTTTTTCAATTCCTATTTTATATTCTTTTATTATCTTTCCTAACTATGAGTACCCTAGAAACTTGGATAAAAAATCATCCAGTCAACTCAACTCAAGACTGTTTTGTCCCAAGCAGAGTTGTATTGTTTACACTGAATTATCCAAGATACGAAAATTTCAAATTTTTTTTCCCAATAACATTTCGCAGGTTGACATCTCTAGTGTATTTTCTGTCGAATAGATATCCACCATTGCATTTAACAAGAGTACAAAAGCACTAGATACAACTGAAAGTTTCAGAAGATTCTTCTAAAGGCCAAAGGGAGGATAAGGAGGGAAGAAAACTCAAGTGTATTTTCACGTGTAAGTACCTTGTTTTCTGGATAGGTATATTTTCCTGCGCAACATGTACTCAAATTTGTTCCACTTTGGCATTATTTTTGCTAAAATTAACATAATCTCAAAATGTTATTGAATCATCTTTTGAGAAAAAGAGTAGCTCAGAACGCACTGCAATCAAGTAATCAAACTTGACATAACAGAAAATGCAAATTAAAAAGTTAACAAACGCAAAATCAAATCTAGTAGCTTAGAACACATTGCAATCAAGTAATCAAACTTGACATAACAGAAAATGCAAATTACAAAGTTAACAAACACAAAATCAAATCTAAACAATTTGGAAAGCATTTTTAACCAAATAAGTTGAGTACAGAACATACTTGGCAAGATTTATTCTTTGCCCGGGTTTCTGCGGTACTTGGAATATCATGATTTGGTTTCAAAAACTTCTTCTCACGACGTTCGCAGGAGCCCCAACCATCTGAGAATCTACCACCTCTGACCAGATATGGACATTTCACAACTCAGAAGGAAACAAGTAAATGTTCACAACATTATTAGCAGAAACTGAAGAACCTACTGCATGTATGCTCGAACAACAAATTCTGCACGCTGAACATTTTGATGCTGATCATACTCAATGGTCTTATCTTTGATTTCAAAAGAAAGATTAAAGAAAAATGATATCTTCCTCCATCCTGCAAAATCAAACACAATGTTAGAGTAAAAACATGAAAAAAATTGATATAAATTAAATTTTATTCCAATGTTATGAAATCTTACCAGATTTCTTAATAAATGGATGCCCCGAAATGACTGTATAATCACTTTTCTCAAGAATCTGTTCATTAGAATGAACAATTAGGTCAATACAACATTGGCTTTCACAAAAAATAAAAATAAAGTAGATGATATAAAACATGAATCCTAATAGATATATATTATTTTTTCTAGAAATTCAGTTTACTTTCAAGTTTCAACAAAATGACATTGGGGAAGATGTTGTGCATATAATTATAGCTGGGTGGACAAAGTAGAGATGTGGTTCCATAGTCTTATGTGATCATCGCAAACCAATAAAACTAAGAAGTTCCATAGGAATATTGCAAAACCAACCATGCTATATGGGATGAAATGTTGAGCAATCAAGAAACAATATATCCATAGAATGAGTGTAACGGAAATGAGGACTTTAAGAGGAATGAGTGGCAAGACAAGAAAGGATATAGAATTTGGATTGAAGACATCTGAGGCAACTTATGAGTGGCTCCAATAGGCAATGAGATCAGGGCAAGTAGACTTAGGTGGTTTACCCATGTACCACGTCAACCTAGAACAACGCCACTTAGGAGCGGCGATTTGCTTTAAGTGGAAGGCTCTAATAAGGCAATGGGAAGGCCTAAAAAAATATGTATGGAAGTCGTCAGAAGAGATGTGGTGACTTATGGTCTGATAGAGGATATGGCCCTTGATAGCAGGATGGCGGAATATGATTCGTGTAGTCGATTCCAAATAGCTGGGATAAGGCTCAAATGATGACAACGACGACGATGTTGATGATCTTGCATTGAGCATGCAACTGCCTTTGTCAACATATAAGGTTCAATAACTAAGTTCGTAGCAGTTTAACTAATTTGAGGTGCTAAAGTACGTAATGAATCAAGTAAAACGTCAATCCCATGCAGTGAGCATTGACCAAAAAAAAAAAAGCAAAAATGCATCCAAAAACACATATTATCTAGGAATTATGGTTGGCATTAATGTTAAATTACTTGGCTTGCGCCCAGGACTTGGCTCATGCATAAGCCTAGTAACTCGGGTATTCCGAGTGCACTCGAAGTTCTACCCAATATAAAAACAGCCAGGGGTAGAGAGATAGAGAGCTTTGGGCATGAGCATGTCTCTCTCTCTCTCTGGTGTGCCTTCTCTTTGAACATCTAGGCATCTCTGAAACCAAAGCTTCCATCTTCTTTAGCTTTGGCTGATGAAAATCACAGAGAATGGAGTGATTCATCATCAGATAGTAGGATCCAATTTGAAGGATCTCATCAGAGAGCCACGATTATCACAATACTCGCAACACTCTATTATTCTTCATAGAGAAGGGAATGTTTCATTATCATCTCCCAAGGGTCCTTATTGAGTTCCTCTTCTATGGGTCTCTCTGCTCCTGCTCCTCTTTCTCTTTATCTTTCTCTTTCTCTTTCTTTTTACTGCCTTCTCTTCCTCCTTTTTAGTACAAATCAGAAAAAATGACAAAGGGAGGGAAAGAGCATTTGGGAAGAGAGAGAGTTCTCAGAGGAAGAAAGAGAGATGAAAAAAGGATGGTGAATTTCCAATCCCCTTTTAATTTCTTTAAGCAATCATACTCAGGCAAGCATGGACTTGCCGGAGTTTCTAGAACCCAGGCTAGTTTGCCTGAGTTCTACAATGCTAGGGCAAGTCTCTACCATACTTGACCCTGTACTATACAGGCCCCCATAACCCCAAGTATGAGCACCGCTACTCACCTTGGCACGGTGCTGAGGCCGAGTAACTCACCATCCCCTAGACCGAGTTTTCAAAAACTGATTGAGATTGTTCCTAACACACAATGCCCTCGACTTCATTTTTTCAATAATCCACATTATAATTCCCAAACATCCAACAGAGAATGTACCATTCCTAAAACTACTACCTAAAAATCAGAAACAATATATTCAAATTTTTTTCAAAAAAATGCAATGAAAAATTAGAAAGAAAAAAACTCATTTCAAATGTCAGCTCAGATTTCCACAATCATAAAAATGTGTCAAACATTTTGATTGTTGTCAACAAACAAATTCCCTTTATCCATCAAATAAAGAAAGCACCCAAAACGCTAAAGGAAGAAAATAATTCTTGCCGCCATGGCTGCATTTTGATATTGCTTGAACAGCGAAACCGAAGGGAATCCCCCATTCAAACTGTGACAAAAAATCTCCTTTCCATCATCTTTGCATGAATTAGGCGATGAGTGTGGTTGCTTCTCAATAAAAACCAGCTGAGTTCCTCCATTGAAAGACCCAGGGCTCTGAAACCCTCCATAGGCATCAGATCTCATAATCTTGCGAGGTCGATGAGGAATCGACCGCTCCTGCAGCACCTCACCTTCTCTCGGATCTTCTTCCACTGTGTAGTTGAATCTAGAGTTCCTTGAGCCTTTGGCCTCAGGCGTTTGGTATTGATATGAGATTGAAGGTATAGTGCGGGTTTTGGGAGTAAGATTACGGAGATTAGTGGGATTGCCCACCAGAGCCAGGGTTTTACTCTGGTTCGATTTAGAGGCAGAGTGAGAAACAACTGCTGAGTCTATGACGGCCCATAGCTCTGCATCGTCTAGGGCATTGTCATCGGGAAACAGAGTCATGGCCGCCATTATCACCTCCACCAGTTGAGAGAGAGACGTGGTTTCACTAGGTTATATGATGATGTCCCTGTTAGAGAGAGAGAGAGTCTGAATGGGTTAGAGAGAGAGATGGTTTCAATGGGCTATAGAGAGAGAGATCGAGAGTGAGCTTGAGAGAGAGAGGCAGAGGCCCGATGATTCAAAAAAATTCAAATACAGAGAAAGAGGGGGGAAGGACCAGCGTGGAATTTAATGATAATAGTGTGGTAGAAAGGGTATACTCTGGAAACGCTTTCGGGCAATTTTTTGAAGCTTTTGGCTTTCTTTTGTGTTAAAATGATTAAATATATCGAAAAACTTTGTTGTATAATTTTTTTTAAGGAAGAAGTTTATATAGAGCCTAGGCTCTAAACAAACAAATTAGAGCTTACCTCAAAAATTTCATTAGATGAGGTTGTTTCGATTCTCAAATATCCTCAAATTGATCATCTTGATATCAAGATGTATGAACATAACAAAAAAATGGATATCAAGTTTTGTAAATAGTGCATCTTTTAATGCATTTTTAAACCGTCAAATTTTCAAGATTTTCAAGTTTTCGTAGATTTGCTCGATCTACATTATTTTTTAAGCTTTAAATTTTATAATTAGATATAAAAATATATTTTAAGGCTATCACAAAGATTTAAAGTATTAAAACCACATTTCTCGATATTATTTGAAGGTTAGCTCTACTTTGACTGTTTAGAGCCTCCGCTCTATACAAACGGCATCTTTTTTTTTAAGGAAAGAGTTTATATACAACCGAGGCTCTAAACAATCAAATTATAGCCTACCTCAAAAACTTCACTGGAAGACGTTGTTTTGATGGTCAAATATCATCAAATTGATCATCTTGACATCAAGATGCATGGACATGAAAAAAATATGGATTTTAAGTTTTGAAAATAGTGCATCTTGTACCACATTTTTGGACTGTCAATTTTCAAGATTTTCAAGTTTTCATAGATCTGCTGGATCTATATTATTTTTAAGCTTTAAATTTTATAATTAAAGATGAAAATATATTTTAAAGCTATCACAATGATTTTGACTGTTGAAATCACATTTATCGATACTATTTGAAGGGCCGCTTTACTTTGATTGTTTAGAGCCACGCCTCTATACCAACCGCACCCTTTTTTTAAATTAATAAATACTCATTTTTTTCTTATTTTGTGTGTTGGTCTTTTTTTAATTATTTGTATTCTTTCAAAATATCCGCAGCCTTGTACTTTGAGTACTAGACCACAAGCGCGTTTTTTTTTTTTCTTTTAAAATAGGTTTAGGCGATCGGACCCACCTCTACCAGCCTTTTTGCTTAACTAATTTGATACTTTAAGTACAGATTGCATTTTTTCATCATTCGAGTCAGTTCCAGTATTGAACTGACTTCTAATGAAAATAGTAAATATAGATGAAGTCCTAGACTAAGTTTTGGAAGAAAAAGTCTTGTGTGCAGTCCAGTAAGTACACCTGTCCAGGGTTACTTTGGCCAAAATTTAAAAACTAACAAAAGAAAGAACCCCAACATAAAAAATGAAAAAAAAATGAAGCTTACATTTTAGTTATATAAAAAGGATTTATATATTAATTTCCCTTTAATATATACCTAAAAAATAGTAAAAAATCAAATAAAATAATAGATGATGTGTATAACATGATTTGGGACTGATCTCTGACGAGGTCTTGACGTAGATTCACTCTTCACAAGTTATTCATACGGTAGATGGGAGGCCTCGTCGAATTCCAACTCGAAGGTCATGGGATCTCGCACTAAAGAATCAAACCCACTTCTAGTTGTCAGCAATGCCAACTTGTAAATCGCATCAAAGTCAGAGGCAATCAACAAGGCTCTAGGAAATGAAAGAAATAGGGCAAGATCTAACAAAAAAAAAACTGAAAAGATCAAAAGTAAAGTCAAAGAATTGGAGCTTAAGGACTATACTTGGGTGTGCTTACAATTTACTATTGTCCTAGAACTCCAAATGGCATGTCTAAGACTCCTATTATGCATTTAAAATGATATTTTTTATGCTTTGCAACTTAAAATTTCAAAAAAAATGTCAATTTTAAAATAGGATGTCTACGGTTACCCCTTTTTGACGTACCGTGCCATTAAAGGGAGAGATGAGCTGCAAAGACGCAAACACCTATGAACACATGAATAAAATGAATGAGTTAGAAATTTAAAACCAATGCTACCAGGTTCGTCAGCACATGGACCGTTACTTAAAACCAATGCTCATAGGGTGGTTGTCCTACCAGGTTCGTCAGCACATGGACCGTTGCCCTATCTCAGCTCTCCTACAAATTTTTGCATCTAGGGAGACTGAGTGTTCTTTGAGGCGCTCTTGGTCGATTGCTGCCTAGTTTTTGCCATGTCACTAATTATGAGTTCTTTGAAATCAATGAATGAATGAAAAGGAATTGAAATTGACTTTTTCCTTTTGATTTCTTATCCCTCAGCTTTCCTAATGAACGGGTAGGGAGAGGGGTTCCTAAGGTTTGATTCAAAATCTTTTATCCAATATTTATTTCGTCTTTAAGGGGATTTGTAAGGTACGGGGCAACTGTCATCACTTCAAGGCTTCTTATTTACTCCTTTGTTTTTTGAAAACATCTTCTTAGAAAATTTTGGAAAACAAAGGGGAAGTTTTAAAAACAAAACCTTGCCTGGTTACGTTTTAAACCAAATTAATTAAAATTTTAGAAAATGGCAAACACAAAATTTAGAAAGCATCCAAACCAAGATCGCTCCTGCACTTGGAGTTTTGAAAATTAAAAATTAAGAATCGGAAATTAAGAAATAGAAATTAAGAGCTGGAAATTAAGAAATTAAAATGAACTTCCTCAAAAAGAATGAGATTTTGGAAATCGATTTAGCAGTTTAGCTTTTGCAACCATGGAGCTGACTAAGCAATTTAACGTCGTGCATTAATGGACCTTGACTAGAAATAATTTTGAAAGCAAAAGGGCAGTTTGTGTTCATGTCAGAACTGACTGATTATGATGTCAAAAGGTGGCAGTTTGGATTCATAGCAAGAATAAAGAGAATAATGGCAATTAGGATTCATAACAGGATTAAGGAGAGTAGTGGCAGTTTAGATTCATACCAGGAATAAGGGGAGTAATGATTTTGAAGGTGGTGCAGTTTGGATTCATGTTAGGAATAAGGAGAATCTTGGGGTGGTCTGGATATAAAATTTTCAAAAAAATAATGTTTATTAAGCAAAAAATACTTCAATAGAAAAAGGAGAGGAATTTTTGCTTAAAGAATAAAATTGATGAGACTATGAATTGTATTAGTGATCTTGATGATGTAATGTTGAATCAGGGTTTTACATCGATGGAGTTGGCGAATGATGGACATATTCTTGTTAATACTATGTATGAATTAATGAGAAAGGATGAAATTAATTGAAAGCAGAGATCTCGAGTGAAATGGTTGAAGGAAGGGGATTTAAATACAAATTTCTTTCATTGTATTGCTAATGCTCAACGTCGACAAAATGATATTTCAGGTATCTCATTTAATAGGGTGGAACATTTAGATAATAATGCTTAGGAAAATGAATTTGTCAACCATTTTCAAGGGGCATTTTCTAGTGAACAACTATGTCGAGTTAATTTAAAGGTTGTTCCCTTTAATGTTCTCTCTCAAGATATTGCACATGATTTGGAAATGAGGGTTGAAATAGACAAACTTAAGAATTCAGTCTTTGTACTTCCGATGGACAAAGTACCAGGACCTGATGGCTTTTCACTTTTATTTTCCATAAGTTTTTGTCATTAGTGAAGGATGAGCTTTTTGTTTATGGTCAATGAGTTTATACATAGTGGTAAATTGAATAAAAGCATTAATTCTACCTTTATTGCTTTGATTCCAAAGAAATCATCGATTTCAGGTATTAATGATATTCGAACAATTAGCATATTAACCAGTTTATATAAGATTATCTCTAAGGTGTTGGCAGAGAGATTGAAAAATGTACTTCATGTTATTATTTTTGGGAATCAATATGCATTTTGAGAATGATAATTGATGGTGTATTGATAGCACATGAATGTATTCATGCAAGAGTAGAAAGTGGTATGTAGGGAATTCTTGTCAAACTGGATATGGGGAAGACTTATGACATAGTGGAATGGGGTATCCTTGATGAAATCCCGCACAAAATGGGTTTTGGTATTAATTGGAAGAAACGAATTTTTGGGTGTCTCTCAACTACTCATTTTTTTATTTTGGTGAATGGTACTCCCAAGGGTTTTTTTAAAGCCACAATAGGTCTTAGGCAAGGGGATCCTCTCTCCCCGTTCTTATTTACCCTTGTTAGTGAGGTCTTTAGTTTGATGATCAACAATATGGTTCATCATCAAGGTTTTCTTTGTTTTCAAATAAAAAGTAAGGGGCCTACTATCTCTCCTTACAATATGTTGATGATAACATTTTATTTTATAGAACAGATGTAGATCAAATAATAACTTTAAGAGGGTTTCTTAGATGCTGTGAATTTTCTTTGAGGCTCTTAGTAAATTTCGGAAATACCTCAATAATTGATGTGTGGTGCCAAGATGTGGTGGTCAACTATCTTGCTTAGATTTTGAATTGTAAGAAGGAATATTTTCCAATTACTTACCTGGGAATGCCTTTATCTGATTGCAGGTTGCCAAAGGCCATATGGGACCCTGTTGTTAAAAGGGCAAACCAGAAACTGGATATATAGAAATCAAAACACTTATCTCTTGGGGGTAGAGTTATCTGATAAAATCGTGCCAATCTAATTTGGTTATTTATCAGATGTCTTTATAATGTATGCCATGTGATATTATTAAACAATTGCATAAATTAATGAGAAATTTTTTGCGGGGCTCTGATAAAGATGTGAAGAAATATCATCTGGTGCGTTGGGATAGAATTTGTACTCTAAAATTAGAAGAGGGTTTGGGCATTAGAAAATTAAAATTTAAGAATCAAGCTTTACTAGCGAAATGGTGGTGGCATGTAATGCAAAATGATAAGTGCTTATGGAAAGATGTGCATCAGGCTAAATATGGTTGGGATCCTTTGCATATACGTGGAGGGCTATATACGTTATGCGGCATTTTGTTCTTTCAAACTCGA